CTCCTCACCCTCGAAGAGGGGCTGGCTCCGGGGCGCGGCCTGTCCCCAGGGCTGATTTATTTGGGCCGAGGCACACCACTATTCGCGATTCGAATTCAGCAAGAAAACAGCAGCCAATTGGGCAGGGGGCGGGGGCTTTGCTGCCAAACGGGAAAGGGTGTTTGGGGACCAAGACAGGCGCTGCTTCCGGAGGAGCAGTGAGACCCCGGGGACCGCGTCACCATACGCCTTTACCGCCGCAAATTTAAGCCCATTATATTGTCATTTGACAAAGCTCCTGACTGCTCCAGCGACTTTTCAGAAAGAAAAAGAATACAACGTCTGACTTAAAACATAGTTTTAGCTGGAGAGGTGGGTTTTTTTTTTAAGCCAGATTTATGGGGCCTTCTCGCTTATACCATATTTCTTTTTGTGTCGGGGCCGCTTTCCCCGAAGGACACGGGGTTACCTAGGCGGCCCCCATTCCCGCCAGCGTCCCGGCCCACTAGACGCGTCCAGGCGGCTGCGTGTACCCCCACTCAGCGACTGTCTGTCCAACGCAGGCCATCGCCCAGAATCCTGACGGTGGCTTCTTGGGGGGTTTTGTTGTTGTTGTTTAGTTTTGTTTCTTAATTCTCGAAAACCCAAAAATAACCCTTTAGAATTGTCAGGTGATGGCGGCGGAAGCGCGAACACTGCACAGCCTAGCGAGCGCCCCAATCCCCTGGCCCCTCGCCCCGCCGCGGGTCACTTCGGGTGAGGAGCACGCAGCGCCCCGCGCGGGCCCCGGGCGGCCGGAATCCAGTGTTCGGGGCGCGGCGGCCGCAGCCCCGGGTCGCCCCCGCGGCCGCCAGCGCGGCGCGGAGGTGGGCTAGCGGCGGCGGCGCACGAAAGGTCACCGCGGTGGCATTCCTCTCCTCGCGCTGTTTACGTGACTTAATGTACTTCATACGCCGCGGGTAAGTTAGGACCGCGATAAGGGGGCGAACGGGGGAGGGTTGCTGTAAAAGCCCCTTGCTGGGCGCCTTCTAGCCCTCCCCTCATCCATTAACCTTTTTACTTTCTTCTCCCCTCTCTCTTTTAAAGCTTGTTATCTAGGCCACCCAATGACCGACGAAAGATTTTCCCTCCCTGTTTCTCCCAAGGCCGCTTTAAACCAAATAAATTTAGCTGTTAAGGGCCAAGATGTCTGACAAAAGATCGAAAGGTGTCTTTCCGTGATCGCTTAAAGAAGCGAAGGGGAAGCGGTGGCTCTCGGATCCCGATAAAGACATTCCACCCCGGCGCCGGCCTCCCTCCCCTCGGCCTGGATGCGCCCTGACACCCTGAGATCACCACTTCAGCGGCCCAGACCTCGGAGGGGCCCGGCGGGACCTAGGGCCGCAGCACGGGGAATGTGCAGGTCCCCAGGCTGCCGGGGCCTGGTAGTGCCAGGCACTGGGGTCTCAGGAGCCGGGGAACTCCAGGCCGGAGCGGAGCTCCCAAAGCAGCCCCACTGCGCTTTGCAGAAAAACTAAACTGAGCTCAGTGGGGCCTAAATTACCATCCCGTTGTGATCATTTCCTGATATTGAATAATACTACAAAGTCAAACCACCCTACCTGCCCGCCCCGCACTCCCTGCGGTTTTGCTGAAGGGCTGTGTTACTCCACATCTCTGGTTGTGGGGAGCAGACCTTCTTTTGAACCCCAGTCAGAACGCGGTGACNCCCGCCTGACTGCGGCTCCCGCCCCTTTGCGCCGAGATAACTCGGAGATAAGGCTGCGCGCAGATAAGCCCTTCGGAGAGGAAAAGACACCAGAAGTTGGTCTGCGGTGTCCGGGGAACTTGGGGGCCGCTACAGCCTACCGGGGAGTGGAGAAAGAAGACACCCTCGGAGCCGACCGCGGCCTTCAGAGGGCCGGAGAGCAAAGGCCGAGGGGCACGCGACGGGTGGGGGGTAGAGGGAAGGAGAGTGGGGAGCAAGAGCAAGAGAGGAAGCAGCCGAACCTCGGGTGGGCACTGCGCATGGAGAACGGCCGCGGCGGAGGGTGTTCCCGAGCGCGGAGAGAGGCCGAGGGTGCCGGCAGGCGAGCGCGAGTCCGGGGTCTGCGCAGCGTTGCTGGTGAATAAAAAGGAGAGAGGAGGCGCCTCTTACTGCTCTGCCGGAAAACTGCAGCCTGCGCTCCTGATTGGACTCACCGAGCCCTAAACAAACAGCGCTCGCCGAAGGGTGCCAGGCTGTGGGTCGGAACTGCGCTCTGCGAGCAGCTGGGCGCTGGAGGTGAAGAGGAGGAGGAAGAGGAGGAGGAGGAGGAGGAGGGGAAAAAAAGAGGGTGGGGAGGGGACAGCGGGCGGCGGGGGGAGGGGAGCGCGCCTCCCTGGCAGACAATGAGCGCTGCTCAGGCTGCGAGTGTGAGCTGAGCTGCGAGCACTGTCCTGGGAATGGGGGCGAGTGCATCCAGGGGGCGCTGAGCCCAGGGACGCCGGGGGAGGGGCGGAGGTGGCAGAACGCCTGACCTGGCAGGCAGCTCACACCCATCCTTCAGCGGAGCACTTTCCTCCGCCCCAATTTACACACGCACTCACGGGTTTTGTGGTGGGGGGTGTTGGCAAGGGAGGAGTTGGCTGTGGACAACCGCGCGCTGCCACCCCCGCGGATGGGACGCGCCAGCCTCCGGTCAACGCGCCCCCAAAATGAGGGGTAAAAATGCTTTGCTCTGCTGCCTTCGCCGTTCCCACCTCCACATTAAATAAGCTTTTTTGCTCTGTATTTGTGTGTGACCGACCTTAAACTTTCCCCGACCTCTTCTCAAGACCCTGGGGCTCAGGTCGTGGTGGCCGTCGGAGTCGAGGCTCCTATGATGTGGGAAAGAAGGAACTCGAGTGCTCAGCTCCCTATCTCTGCCCTGCTTTTTAGAAATATACTAAATTCCTGGGGCGGTTAGGGAAGTTCACGTCCGCACTCCTGAGCTAACCTTTGGGACTTTTAATTCGGGGTGGTGGAGTACTTACGTTAGTAAATGGTGTACTAGGTTATTCCCTGAGGTGCACAGGATAGAAAAGGGCTTCCACTCCAGTCGCGCCCGCTGATGCTTTCCGAGTTTGGGTGTCCCGTTTGCTCTGAGCTTTTCCTGGAGAACTTCAGGTAAGTCTCAGATTAAGTCGCTGAAACGAGGGGGGGGGGGTCACCTTCTCTGGACCCAGCGCGAAATACCGCTTCCCACCCCCACCCTCACATACACACCCCTTCTTCGCTCCCTCCAAATGGTTATCACAACTGTGTACAAACTGATACGGCCCTTAGCCGGCAAAGGGACTGAAAATAAACGTCGCGGGGTTATCAGCGCCGATCTGTCATCAGCGACTCGCGCGGCCACAGGTTTGTCCGCAGCAGGAGCCCTGATATTAGGTCTCGCTCCCTTTCTCTCACAAAGGGGACTTCTTCCGACAGATGTGACCCCAGAAGGCTGGCGAGAGAGAATTTTAACTAGGGCAGGAGGAGTTCTTTTGTGGGAATGGATTTTTACACTTTTTTTCCCCAGGTAAATCGAAGTAAATGATTTTCTAAAGGTCAGTCTCCCCTGAAAGCGTTTGGGCTATTTTTGTTAGTTTGTTTTTATGTTTTTCCAGTTGGGGAAGGGAGAGGAACCTCCGCAGAAGGGATAGGTAGGGGTGTTGTAAAATATGGTTTCAAAAGATTGTGAGACCTCGTCGCTAAATATATGCTTCCTCTCAATATAACTGTGCGCTGTGAACCTGTATGTCCTGGGGGAGAAGGGGACAGGGCCTGGCAGCGCGGGGGAGGACGGAGCCGAATTGAGGAAGTTGGCGATAATTCTTTTTTCCCAATTCTTCGTTGTAAATTGCTGCTAAACACTTCTGAATTTTCAATTGCTACTGAGAAGGTCCATAAACCGTTCTCATCCAATTTAGTCATTTTTATTACATTCCTCTCTGCCTCCCCCAATCACTGCTGGCGGCTCCCAGTTTCAGTGTGGTGGCATTACGGAAAGACTGAAGGCAGAAAACTCTGGAACGGAGACTGGCGACTGGAGCTGGATCCAGGAGCTTAAAAATTTAACCCGAGTTCGATCGAGTGGGACAACCAGAAGAGAGCCGGGAGTCAACAGTCTGCTTAACTCCGACCAGGGCTTCGAATGCCTTTCTTTTGGTTTTTACGTGAGTCCCAGCCAAATTTTTAAATAGACTGCGTTTTGCAGAAGCTCCTTTGTAAGTAGCTATTTCTGTAAAGAAATGTTTGGTTTCCTTTGAGTCCAGCTGTTTCTCAGGTTTGCTCTTAAAAACAAAGTTTCCTTTTTTAAATTCAAATCTCAGTGAGATGATTTCTAATAAAGGTGTGCTAACAAATAAATCCTTTGGCTATGTTAGAGTCCAGGCTGTGAAGGCCCCCAAGCCTGAGATACAAGGAGACACAGCCTGCCGCGCCCCTAATTCCTACTGTGTGTTTCTTTATATGTATTTGCAAGTACGGGGTGGCTGGGGGGTGCCCGTGTGAATTTCCTTGGACATTAGCTAACCCCCAAGGACCCGCTTTTCCCCGAATCTCCACAGCAACAGTGAGATGGGTGCATTGGCCCCGCTGCAGAGGTGAGAGGTGGAACAGTGACCGAAGTCCCCAACGTGAGGGTCCTAAGGGCTCAAAAAAGGACCCGACATTTTACCCTCCAGATTCCCAATCTCTTTTTAACATTGCCTAAAACAAAGAGGGG